ACACACACACACACACACACACACACACACACACACACACACACACACACACAGACACAGTGTTACAGTGAACTCTGCGGTGGCGTTTTAACAGGTGAGTTATGAATAATGACTAATAGACTTTTCTGTAATGCTTCACAGGCTCCACCCTTTCCCGCCTCTCTGCGTGTTAACATGTGTGCGCTGACATTTCACCTTCCTGCCCATCTTTTTATTGAAAACATTTTCCCAGCATGCACTGAGGCAGTCATTAATAATGTCAGATTACTGCTGCGCTGGATGTTTGGCCGCTTTAATCTGCAGCTGGCTTCAGATCAGCTGTGGGCGCCTCGGTAATCCCGCTCTAATCCCTTCTCTGCTCAGGTGTTACATCATGGCGGCGTGGAGGTGACGCTAACACGCTACCAAACATCTGCTCACACACGTGAACACGGCGCAGACGTCTGCTGCCTTTTTGCTCGTCCCCCCTCGGGTCACCTCCGGTGTCACAGACTCGATCAGCGGCGTTAGCGTCGCGCTGCAGCGCTAACTGCTCAGAGTAAGACTGGAGGAATCTGAAATGTCGTCACGCACACGTCTGCAGTATTCGCCGAGCTGCTGCGGAGACACTGACAGCTCACGCTCGTTCATCTCAAACGTTGGTTTGTGTGAATCCAACTTTCACTCAGTGCTTTCTGGAGTTCTGGGATTTTTCCTGTTTTTCCAGATTGTCTGTGTGTGTATGCCACATTTACATATCTTTGTGGGGACCACAATTTGGCATGTTACTATACCTGTGGGGACCAACAGCTCTAATGGGGACGAAATGTGTCAGGGTTACAGTTAGGTTATGGTTAGGTTTGGGTAAGCAGCTGGGAAAGCATTATGTCAATGAGATGTCCTCACTGAGATATGAAAACACGACTGTGTGTGTGTGTGTGTGTGTTTCTATCTGGAGGCTTGTTCTGAGCTCACCTTCTCTGCAGGTGAGACGGTGGGCGGGACCGGCTGCTGGTCCTCGGAGTCCTCCAGCCAGTTCCTCCGAGCGAGCTCCTCCCACTCAGCCTGCATCTTGTCCCAGAACTCTGTGTCCGACTGTCAGACAGGAAAGTAGACAGACAGATGCTGAAAGGTAAACAGCTCAGACCGCCATGGCGTACCCACGCCCGGCTCACGCAGAGCACAGAGGCTCAGACCTCCTCGCCCACCTCCTTTCTCTTTTAGGCTTTTGACGCAGCTGACTCCTTTCAATGGGGAGGAGCAGCAGGAGCTCTACTCCGACAGCCGGGCCACCTGCAGAGGACGCTCCTCTCTGCCGCTCGTATCTGTGACCTCGCAGTTTGTGACGACAGGACTGCAGAGCAGCGAACCCACAGCTTCACCCTCTAAACAGGGACTCTGTCGGTTTGCCTCACCTTGTATGTGAGGAGCAGGATTTTAATTCTGGATTTAACAGGAAGCCAAAACAGGAGAAATCTGCTCTCTCTTTCTAGTCCCTGTCAGGACTCTTGCTGCAGCATTTTGGATCAGCTGAAGGCTTTTCAGGGAGTTTTTAGGACTTCCTGATAATAATGAATTACAGTCGTCCAGCCTGGAAGTAATAAATGCATGAACTAGTTTTTCACTCAGACATGAGGACCTGGTCTGTGCTGCCACACGTCTTTAAAATAAATATCCAGTGTGTTGTTTCCTCCACGCTGCAGTATGGCCGGGAACAGTAATGTGTGCAGGGCAGCGGTGGGATTTATGCACACGTGAAAGGCCATAGTTTAAATGTGCAGCGCCGTATAAATACTGGATCAGGACGCCGTCCATCATTAAACACTCGTCTGCCATGAATATGAAAGCGGCGCGTCTGGTTACTGGACCAGAGCGTCTTGAGCCGCCGTGAATATCAGTGCTGTCAGAGCCAATCAGCTTCAGAGAGGAGGCAGCGCAGCAGGCAGAGCGTCCTGCAGGAGGACACCGGCCGGGCGAAGAAGAGTCACGCTTTCACGTCACGTGCGGGTTTTCACCGCGTTACCTGCACTCAGCTGCACGCTGTCAGACTCGGCGTCAGCGACATCGATGTTAATAAAACGATAAATCATCATCATCATCACGCTCGAATGAAACACAACTGATGAAGCTGCAGGTGAATCGCAGAGACCTCACAGCAAAACTGATCTGAGAACAGCTGCGGACGCTCAGGTGACAGGAAGTACACGCCATCTGTTTCTGAGCATCAGCTGACTCTGAGCGGCAAGACAAGAAGACGAGAGTTTCCTCCTGTCAGTATGTCACAGATGAGACTCAGAGCGAGGAGACGGGGGAGCGAGGAGGCGGGGCTCGGCGTGAGGAGCGTTCGTTCGTGACATCAGTGTGACGAGGGCTGTGTCCCAATTCAGGGTCTGCAGCCTCAACGATCCTCAAGGGCCGCGTACTCAAAGACCGCTAAGGCCGGAAGTGCGAGGCTTGTGAAATGGGCGGTCTAGCCTCTGTTGCGCTGCCCAGGTTGCCTAGCAACCATGATACGAACAGCTGGAAACGTGTCATACAGCTGTGTTTAACAGAAATGAAGGAGAAAATCTTTTGTTCATTTGTTTGTTTCTACATGAGCTTTGATCATTCTCTGTAGGATTAAGCTCAGCTATTGGACGGCGTATATTTTAACGTAAAGGCTTTAAAACCAAGTTAGTACAAACGTCACTAATGTCACATGACTTTGCCGACATGTGGCCAACAGCAATGTTTTAATGTTCTTCGTTATTAAACATTTGCACATAAATAAGTGACATAATATTCAGTACTTACTTAAAGTTTACTCTTCGGACGCCCCTCATCCGCCGTTTTTTCCGGCAAAATTATCCACACGCACCGCCACGCTATGCATTCTGGGATATGTTGGGCCACGAAGTCTACACTGCCACGTCCTTAAAATTCAGGGGAATGAAGGACGCATTTGAGGGCCGCATTTCGAGCAGCCTTTGAATTGGGACAGCCTTCGGCGCGCCGCTGTGACGTAATCGGCCTTGAAATGCGGCCTTTAAGGCTGCAGACCCTGAATTGGGATACAGCCGAGGACGCCCGTGTCAGCGTGTTCTTACCTCCACAGCAGCTTTCGCCCGGACAAACTCGTCCTCCAGAGACTCGTTCCTGAGCAGCAGAGAGCGAGTCCGTCTGCGCTGCCGGGACGCCCCGCAGTCCTGAAAGCCCACGCACACACACACACGTGCACACACACACGTGCACGCACACACGTGCACATACACACGTGCACACACAGCAGCAGGTCAGTGTGAAGGAAAACAAAGTGACTGGGACAAAGTCACAGCTGCATCTGATGCTCCTCGGCTAACCTCCAGCGGTCTGCACTCGTTTCTCCCAGGCTGCCTGAACTGCACACTGTCACTACAGATGGCAGACACACCGGGCCTGATCTCAGTCACTTTTGGCACTCACCTCTCAGTCAGAGCGCTCGCTAACATCGTGCCGTGGTTCAAAGGTCACGATGAGGCGAGCGCGAGGCTGAGCTGCAGCAGCCAAACTCACCGTGACTCAAACCCACACCAGGGTCTCCAGAGCAGCACCCGCAGTGTGTACTCACTCGGGTGAGCAGATGCAGTACTGCAGTAGTATTTGCAGCATGAGCAGTGGCTAACCTGCGTTGAAGAAATGAAGTCGAGGTCGTCGAAGCTGTGGATGTTGAAGCTGTTCTTGGTCAGCGGGTCGGTTTTAAACTCTGCCGACCTGAAGGAGAACAGCACAGTGTTAAAGGGAACCTGCTGGTCCTAATTTTCTGTCAGTGTCTTCAGGTGAGCCAGAAGCTCCGCCTCCACCTTTCTACTCTCGGACCTGTGTGATGCCAGAGAGTACAGATACCCTTTCATGGTGATCCCAAGTTTAGAAACTCAGATGTTCTGTTTGTGCAGGAAGCTGGTTCAAAGTGGGCGGAGCTAAAACTGCGAGTTTGAGACAGAGGACGAGCCCAGTGTGAGGTCATTCTGAGCCGGGGTCATGCAGAGCTACGTTACCACAGCAGTTCACTGGACGAGTGATGGGAGGTGCATCTCTTCTCATATCTCCTCCTGCGCCCGCCGTCCTCCACGTCCAGGTTCACCTCCTCCCATTTCTCCAGAGGAGACGACAGGCTGACTGCAAACACAACAGCATACCTGAGGTCCCGTTATTATTCCTGGTGTGTGTGTTTATCAGTAATGAAGATGAGACAAGCTTCAGCCAGTAAAAACACAACATGGGAAGTGCAGCTGGGTGTAAACAGGAAGTGGGAACTCATCACAGTAAAAGCTGCGATTAAAGATGCTGCTCCTCACGACTCGGTGAGTTTAAAGCTTTTAATGAAATGAAGCAGTGCGAACCAAAGTGATGAAGGCCTGAGTGTATTTATAGATTTATAGCAGACGTGGGGCAGAGCCACACTTTTAGCTGATTTATTCGTCAATGACAAATTAAAGCTGAAAATCTGCCACAGTCTCAGAAACAGGTCCACAGATGAACCCGGAGCTGTGGGTACCTGTGGATCAGAAAGGCTCACGCTGCGAGCTTTGAGGTCTGACAGGTCCAGCGTGGCGAGACGGCGTTCAGTCCTCAGGAGGCAGCAGCTCACACGTGCTGGAACAAGCCGCGTCATTTCATGCTCGGGCTTATTTACGACGATGAATTTATGATGAAGACACTTTCCCATCGTTCACAGCTCCTGCTCCTCCTGCTCTCAGGCTGAGCTGCAGGTTTGAGCGTCTCTGGGCCAGATGTTGCTGCAGCTGTGGACGACGGCGTGCACTTTCAGTAATAAATATGAATACATGTTGTAATCGGCTTTTCTCCCGGGGCGTCTCTAGAAGACGCACAATCCCTCCACAGGGATCAAACTCAGTGAAGCTCGGGTTGAGAGATTGAAACCGTCTTTGGTCATGTGACTGTGGTCTGAAGGAGGCGGGGTCAGTCTGCTGCCTCACCTGCTAATCAAGGTGAGCGGATCACCTGAGAACTGAACACAGACCCTGCTCGCTGGCCTTGTCTCGCCTTTTAGATCCACGAACACAGAGACTCAGCCGCTCGCCTCCTCGCTGTCACGTGATAAAAACTGATGATGATGATGGCGTCGGGTTCAGGCTGCTCTCTGAGACTCACCTGAGTCCAGGGAGATCCTCTCAGGTGTTCTGGGACTAGCGGGCAGGTGTTCCACCTGCACCTGGATCAGCTCCGTCTCCTCGGGTTTGGCTCGGCGTCGCGGACTCTTCGAGCTGCCCTTCTTCCTCAGAGGGCTCCTCCTCCGCTCCTTGTTGCTCGCCCCGCTGCTCTCCCCCAGCTCGCTGAGGTCCACCAGATCCAGAGCTGTGGACAGAACTGCAGACAGCGGGAGAGGTGGACTCGTTACCCCGACAGGCTCAGTGTCTGTGAGAGCGGTCGGCCCTTCACTTTGGTGTGGATAACAGACAATAACAATATTTAACTCAGAAGTCAGAAGATTAGTGCTCAGAGTGCTCAGAGTACTCTGAGCACTCTGAGCACTCTGAGTACTCTGAGTACTGACAGTACTCCGAGTACTCTGAGTACTCACAGCATCACAGTTTCGAGGTTATTTAAAACAGATTTACTGCCCCGGCTCAGCCTCGGAGGCCGACGAGCTCGGTTAGGACAGGGTGCCTCCTACACGCACGACCAGCTGGGACTGAGACGCTCTGGCCGACCTGCAGCGTTCGTTCATCACGGCGTCCACGAGCTGGAGGAGGTGGCTGTGAGGAGGCGTCCGTGTCCACCCACCCTCATCAGTGAGTTTAACCATCGAGCCTTCAGCGGTGTTAGAGGAGGGTTACAGCAGCGCTCAGACGTGTTCTTGTCACCGCGCTCGAAGACGAATAAAGTTTGAATTGATCACGACCAATAACAGAACGCGTGACTCTGTGACCTCTGAGCGTCTCCCTGCAGCCCAGGCTCGGATCAGATAGAATTTCAGCCACACCACCTCCTCCCGTCCTTCCCCTCCCCTCGTCTTCCACAGCTCAGCGGGGCTCCTCCTCCTCCTCCTCCTGACACGTCGACAGTTTTTATGTAAATGCAGAAAGAAGCAGCACAGCAGCCTGAGTTTAATGTGAGGAGGAGGACAGAGCAGACAGGAGGACAGAGGAGGTCAGAGGTGCTAATTAATGGCCGGTGTACCTGCTGAGTCGGAGGTGACAGATGGTTCACAGAGGAGGAAGGAGGACGGCCAAGGGCGGAAAGTTAGAGGAGTGCAAGAAAAGAGAGGAGAACACAGAGATTTGGGAGATCAGAATGAGGGGAGGTTAGAGGAGGAGGTTTCTTCTCACAGCTCAGTCATGTTTAGCAAATTAAATAAAACAGAAATGGATCAATAATGTTTCCCCTCGTTTCTCCTGCACGAGGGCTGAAAAAGAATCCTCACACTGAGCAGGAGGAGGAGGTGGAGGAGGAGGTGGAGCCCCGCTGAGCTGTGGAAGACGAGGGGAGGGGAAGGACGGGAGGAGGTGGTAATTAGCGGGAGTCTACCTGCTGTGTTGGAGGTGAGCGGTCGGGCGGAGGGGGTGTCGCTCCGGGTCTCCGACAGGAAGTCATCGATGGAGGGGCTCAGTAGGGGCCGGCTCTCCTGCTGCTCCCCGACCAGCTGGAGGGCAGAAACAACGGGTTAGAGCAGACCGCCGAGGAGACGCAATAACACAATAAGCCCCCACCCCAAGGCACATACTGTAAGGTAAAGACTCCACAACAATGCAGAGAAACCCAACAATCATATGACCCCCATGAGCAAGTGCTTTGGTGACAGTGGGAAGGAAAAACTCCCTTTGAACAGGAAGAACCAGGCTCAGCGAGGGGCGGGGCCATCTGCTGGAGAAGGACAGGATAAAGACACGCTGTGGAGGAGAGACAGAGACTCTTAACAACTAAAGACGAGTTCGCTGCTACGTAGGACTCTGCATGTCTCTGGGTGGCTTCGTGTCCAGAGGTCAGAGGTCACGTTTGACACCATCAGCTATGGTTACACTCTGTCAGGACCTGTGAAAGTGAAGCTAAAACATGAAGCAGAAATCTACGCCGGCTGCTTTTAAAAGGACGGCTCAGTCAGGTGACAGGATGGAGCGGAGGAGGCGGAGCAGCTTTTAGGGCCCTGCAGTGATTACAGGAAGCCGGCGCGGCAGAGCGAGCCTGTCACATTATGAAAGGGTGATGAGATAACTGGTCCAAAGGTAATGAATGTGTCTGAATGAGGCACAAACATGTCGCCTGCACACGCTGGTGTCTGAGCGGAGCCTCCTCACAGCGGCACGACTCAGACACACAAATGAATCACAGCTGCCGCTGATTTCACCGGTGAATGTCTCGTTCATCCGAGCCGCTGCTGAGGGAGCAGGAGAGGCTGAAAACGGCCTGCAAAACACCAACCGTGTGATGGAGCACATGCCCATGCCTGTGTCACAGCAAACCTTCAGCACCGCTCGAGCAGCAAATGAGGCGCCGCGTTCTGCACCGCAGGCGCAATCCGTGGGCGCGGTGCGCTCCCGGCTCTGACCGGGCTCTGTTACACCTGCAGAGGAGCCAGCTGGTGTGGAAACACCGGTGGATTTGTCTGTGAAGGTTCTCAGTCATCCAGGTCATCGTAGTCAAAGGAGCTTGCAAAGAAAAGCGTCTGGACTTCTTTAAGTTTCCTGAAGATGTTTCATCCGAGAAGCTTCTTCAGTTCAAAGGTAAAATGGCCGAGAGTCCCAGATTTAAACCCAGTGGGACTCTCGGCCAGTTGACCTTAGAACTGAAGAAGCTTCTCGGATGAAACGTCTTCAAGCAACTTAAAGAAGTCCAGACGCTTTTCTTTGCAAGCTCCTTTGAAAACACCGGTGGACAGATGTGCCCAACAGGCCGCTCTGCTGCCTGCCAGCTCTGAAGCATTCTGGGAAGTGTTAAATCCCAGTCTGATGCCAGATCACAGATTATTTTATGTGCCTTCCTAATCCTAATCCACAGCGCTGTGTGCGCCACATGTTTAATCCCGTGAAGAGGCGAGCAGCACCGCGCAGATTCACTGTGAACTGATCGCTTCAGAATAAAGGCCCAAAGGAAAAAGGATATGAAACAGCACGGATCAGGAAACATATCCGAGATCATAAATCCAGAATGAGATGGGAGGATAATCCAGAGATAAAACAGCTTCAGAGTTTTATCAGCTGAACCAGGAAAAGTGGAGGGAAAAGTCTGGATGTGACACAGAGCGATGCTTAAAACCGTAACGTCGCTGGATGACTTCCTGACCACGTCGCAGGAAGAATGGCCAAGGAGGCGTTTGCTGTTTCAGGGCGTTCCTTTGTCATCGGGGATGAATCGGTCTCACAGTTGTGTGAGTCACGAATCTTCCCAGCTTCCTGCACATGTTCATCCTGCTGCTTTAGTTTTAAAGGTTTCGATGACCTCGGTGAATCCTCACTGCCGTGTCTGGAACAGAAAACTCTCCCGAACTCCAGCAGGGATCCGACTCTGTGCCCAGGACGAAGGACGAGGTCTCCTTTTCCGACCTGGTGAGGTCTTTCAGCTCATCCTCAGAGTTCATCTGACACAACAAACACACCGACGACACTGTTCTGTCTTCCTGTCGCTGACAGATGATATTCAGATCATTTTTCAGTGGGCTTAGGGTTACAGTGAGCGTCCGGTAAAAGTGTCGACGAGGAGGAAAGAGGAGAGCGGTCAGAGCTAAATGACTTTGGTGCTGCGTTTAAAAGCCGGGGACAGCGCGGGGACAGCGCGGGGAATCGCAGCGCCGCGGCTGTGTGAAGGTGCGGCAGCTGGCAGCGATGAAGTTTCTCTCTCAGCGGAGCACAGTAACGGCAGCTGCAGCAGAGCGGAGGGTCAAAGGTCGGTGACATGATCACACTGAAAACTGCGTACTCTGCAGACGGGAATAAGACGGTTGTTCACTCAGACTAAACCTGAGAAGTCTGACAGCGGCGGCGGGACCGTGATGCACAAAGAAATGTTTCAGCAGGGCAGTAAAGGCGCTGACCTTTTACCTGCTTGCTGTGAGCAGGAACTAAATGTCGAGCTGCGAGGGGGAACAAACAACTACGGTGGTCATGCCAACCTTGGTCATCACGGGGAGGAAGGGGTTCCCTTCAGAGGACGTCTTTTTTACCAGGAAGCTCCTTCAGCAACAACCTTTTCCCCTACGACAGGCAGACGGGCAGGGTCGCCGTGATGGGCGGAGCCAGAGGCGGCGAGTCGTGATGTTGTGTCAGTCTGTGCAGAAAGGCTTCAGGTTTAACGCTGGCAGCTTTTCCGTCTGGCTCAGTGGCGAGGAGGACGTTTCTGATCTGAAGCTGAAAATGAGGAGACTCACCAGAGCTCTCATCTGTGCACGCTGTCCACCTGTACCCGATCTTTCTGCCGCTCGCAGCAGGTCCGTAAATCATTCACATTAAAGTTTATCTGAAGAATTTCTAGAACAATCAATCAATCAATCAAGGCTTTATTCGCCACGTGCAGGTTGCCCTGCAGTGAAATGCCCCCCCCCCAACCCTACACACACAACACAGACATCACATGGGGACACAGGTCAGAGATCGGTAACATTACAGAAAAACACTGAAATATACACAACGATGGGAAAGTACAAGAGGAAAAAAGAGACCTCTACTCATGCTGGGCTCCTGGGAGGACAGCACGAGAACAGGAAACAAAAAACTCCTCTGCACAAAAAGCACATAAATGTCCACAGAACAACATTATGGAACACGTGACCAGCCACAGGGTCGGGTGGGGGGTGAGGAGTAGGGCTGCCACGATTAGTTGACTATTAAATCGTCGACGACTGATTTAATAGTCGACGCGTCGTTTGAAGCTTTGTAAGATCCCAAAAGACGCAGGAATAAGTAGCAGGATTTAAGAGTGTAATAACGGACTGAAACAGAAGATGGCAGCACTGCATGTACAAGGATGCCAGCTGCTGTTAAACCCCGAAGAAGAAGAAGAAGAAGAAGAAGCTGTGTCCCAGAATTCATAGCGCGGCCCAGCTTAGTTTCCAACAATGGCGGCAGCTAGTTAGTTTTAATATTACTCTTATTATTCTTTCTGGGTCACAAAATAAACGTTTAACATATTTTCATGGAGAATGTAGCTGTGTAAACCTCAAATATCTGCTCAGTTTATCAGGACACCACATATTTTCAAAAGCGCTCCGACGTTTTCAGAGACGTCTGTTACCCACTAGCTCGATAGCTAGCCGGGGGCTAGGTCACTAGCGCCGTGAGAACACCGGACTCCCGCAAATCGTTTTCAAACCCACCGCCGTCTTTCACTGCTCAGGTTAAACATGATATATGAGTCACTTAGATAACTTACAAATGTTATTGTTTGGCTTTTTTCAGTATTTTATTTGTTCCTGAGTAAATCTGTTTGGCTGAGATTAAAGTTTTAGTTTTTACACAGCTGAATAAACGTCAAGCAGACAGCTGATTATCAGAAGTGTGAGATGCTGGAGAATTTACTCCGGTGTCCTGTTATATTTTAGATAGCAAGGAGTTTATTAAACTTCACCGAAACAATCTGCAGATTTCATTAAAATTGAATAAACTATCATCTTGTCTTTATTCTTAGTTAGCACAGACCGTAAACACTTAAAGCTGTAAGCTAATGATAGTTATATGAGAGCAGATGCTGCTGGTGCAATAAGCTGTAGTTTCACGTCCAATGGATGATGATCTGATTAGTCGACTATCACAATAATCGTTTGTGGCGGCCCTAGTGAGGAGTCATCCGAAGCAGCACAGCAGCCATCCTGACCAGTGCTACCATTCCAGTGCGGGCTCAGACCCGCCGTGTTCCCAGGAGGCAACAAGCATCGAAGGCGTTTGGAAGAGGAGGGGGGACGAGTGGGTATCAGTGTGTGTGTGCGTGTCCAGAGTTCAGCTGAGACAGTGTCCTTCGCCCCGCCAGGCTCAGTAAACAGTCTTCCAGCCAACCCAGGTGGCCTTGCATGGAATGGGAAGAACAGTCTAAACACAGTCGTTATCAGGGAGTTGTTGTTCGGCTCCAGCCTTGAGACCACAGGTAGATATCTTCAGCATCCTCGATCAACAGTCCCGCCAGGCACACGATCCTCCATGTCTGCCACCCGTCCATCATGTATCCGGCAGGGAAAGTCCCTCCAGGGCACTCGGGCTCTCCCGAGCCCAGACTTCTCGTTGAGAAAAGGGTGTCAATAGCATTCAGAGACCAGTTGATCAAATCCATAATTCTCTTTAGGTTTTAGAAACAGACTGTGAGAGACTGTTCCAGGGAAAGTAATACACACGAGACGAGACAAGGACATAAGAACTAAGCAGGGAAGATAAGGGAGAGGAGAAAAGTGCGACCGCCTTCGCCCAGGGCCAAACGAGAGCCATTCTGTTTTATTCTGCAGAGGGAAGTCATACGTAAACGAGATGGCTCTGTGATGTCAAAGGAGCTTGCGAAGAAAAGCGTCTGGACTTCTTTAAGTTGCTCGAAGACGTTTCACCTCTCATCCGAGAAGCTTCTTCAGTTCTAAGGTCAGATGGTGGAGAGTCCCAGATATAAACCCAGTGGGAGTTTCCCCCCAAAGAGGCTTTAGCTGCTGAAGACAGCTAAGCTCAGCTCTCTCTG